CTAATCGATTTCTTAGAAAAAAAATCAAACAAAATTTTTACAAATAAGCCTTAAAATGCTAGCTGTCAAAATATATAATGATAATATGGTTTAGAATAAAAATGGCGGGAAAAATACGACTAATCCGTCTAGTGGTAAAAAAAAACGAAATTACTTCCCGAACAACCCAATATTTAAAATTTCTCTTCAGTGACAGAATGATAAAATCATTGAACATTGGCAGTTGGTAGTGGGTTCGCGCATCGCCAACGGGCTGGCCACGTGGAGTTTTCTGGGTTTTCTTTACGTTTATGACATCTAAACAGGGGCCATTTTCCCATAAAAGTCCTCTCTAGGCAGATCGCCTACGTAACGCGTAGCTGCAACCGACTAAACTAAATTAAACCAACACATTTATGCATTGTATCATTTGCCGGCTGATTAAAGAGCATGTTTAAACAAGTAAAACGGCAAAACCGTATTTGGGATAAGACTGTCTCGAGACGGAATCACTTTGATGTTCAAGGCAGGTCTGGTTCTTTCTCCTATCTTCTTTGATATCGCTGCTTTTGGGCGCCATCGTTCAAACTTCGCCGGCCACGACCACGAGATCGTCCACGATGCATCTTCGATGAAATTAACCTATCTAATTTCAAAATTTCTCTCCGTTGCGTGTCGGCCCTGGTTGAATTTTTGTCGATGCGTAACGAAAAGTTCCCGTTTTTGAAAAAAAATAATCGTGGCTATTATATCATCCGAAATTATTTTTTTATTTTGCACAAACAATATACAGTGTAACCCGATTATAACGTCATCGGATGTAACGACAACCCTAATATAACGTCAATTTTTTATCGGTCCCACAATTTTACTATACTAGATAATGTTAAAAAAAAGCCCACTTGTAACGACATAAAACCGTTTTAATGTCATATTTGAAGCGCTCCCAAATCTACAAAANTATATATATTTATTTATTTAAAACACTTTTACACAGAAAAAATATATATATTTAAAAGTGTTCTGTTGTTTGGACTTTTTAAGAGCAATTTAAAATGGCCTATTTTATCAATGCCAATTTGGATTTGGCCAGATCCAAAAAAGGGACCTGGGGGCGAGGGACAGGGCCCGACATATCTCGAATGGATTTCCAATAAAAAATCTATTTTTCCGAACAGACCGAATTCGATCTCCTGTCCTTCAGAAATGTACCGGTACAATGGCATCTTATCTGCTCGGCTATTAAAAAATTATAAAATATGTTTAAACGCATAATCGGTTTAAAATTTACAACATATTTGTAAAACAACTTGACATTATAATATGACTTAATCGCATTTCGAAGAATTTTCGTTGCTTATCTACGAAGGTGGAGTGATACAGATTTAAGATAGAGCATATCAGTTCTAGTTCTGGAAAACACTATAGATTAGATAAATTTCTTTTGTAGACAGTAAATAAGAATCTGATAAATTACATGTATTTATTTATTTGATATCGCAAGTTTCCAATTAAATATTCTTTTTATAAAAATATATTTAAACTCTTATTTAACTTTAAGGATTATGTTACAAGCGAGCACTCACGTGCTCGCTTGTAACATAATCCTTAAAGTTTAATACACATTAAACGAGATTGAAAAACTTAATTACGGTAGAAGTTAATTTAATTGGAAACTTGCGATATCAAATAAATAAATACATGTAATTTATCAGATTCTTATTTACTGTCTACAAAAGAAATTTATCTAATCTATAGTGTTTTCCAGAACTAGAACTGATATGCTCTATCTTAAATCTGTATCACTCCACCTTCGTAGATAAGCAACGAAAATTCTTCGAAATGCGATTAAGTCATATTATAATGTCAAGTTGTTTTACAAATATGTTGTAAATTTTAAACCGATTATGCGTTTAAACATATTTTATAATTTTTTAATAGCCGAGCAGATAAGATGCCATTGTACCGGTACATTTCTGAAGGACAGGAGATCGAATTCGGTCTGTTCGGAAAAATAGATTTTTTATTGGAAATCCATTCGAGATATGTCGGGCCCTGTCCCTCGCCCCCAGGTCCCTTTTTTGGATCTGGCCAAATCCAAATTGGCATTGATAAAATAGGCCATTTTAAATTGCTCTTAAAAAGTCCAAACAACAGAACACTTTTAAATATATATATTTTTTCTGTGTAAAAGTGTTTTAAATAAATAAATANATATATATTTATTTATTTATTTAAAAATGCTATATTTAAAAGTGTTTTATATATACAGTTATAATGTACTACTTCGTAACTTACACGGAACTATTTTCCTTTGAATAAGTAGACTAGTGAATATCAGCGCAATTCTTATTCTGGGAAAGACAATAGTAACAAAATGTTTCGATGTTAGTAATGAGTACAATGACAAAATACATTGCCTTGAAATATATTTTATAAAATTCTAAATGTAAACAAAAAGTATGTTATTCTTTTTAATATTTTAAATCAAATATGCCTTAGGTTCGGCCAGGCCCACACTGGGCAGGCCGGTGGTGAGATTACATGGCCTGACTGATATAATCGGGCCATTCTAATCGATTTCTTAGAAAATATTAACTATTTATTCCTTACCTGAAATAATTACTTTTTAGTTTCAATTTTAGAGTTTGTCTGCACCAATGTATCATTACTTATTTTACAATTAATTTCTTTCTTCAAACAGGGAATACTTCGCGCTGTGACCTTCTGATAAGAATAAGAAACGATAACCAATAATAAACGGTAAGAAATTTATCTGTCAAGCACACGTGACTCTGTCATTAATCACAATAATACTCGTAATTTTCGGAATACAGTTTAAAAATTAAACTCCGTAATCGTTTACTATAGTAATTATCTGCGTTATCTGTCGTAATTCAGATAAATAATTCTCTCTTCATTTATTTGATTTTTTGAAAATAATTTCAAAATAATTAACTCATGGGAATATTTAGGTTTTTAGCTGTTTTATGTCGAAGTGTGTCAATATGCCCTATTCACGGGAAGACCTAATTTACATATCTCCGCGAGGGGCCCACTCTCCGACGACGCCGGAAGGTGCCCGAAAGCGGCCTTTTGGTCGCTTTCGGGCACCTTCCGGCGGGCCAAAATTAGCTATCCGGGACGCCTTATTTGCATAACGACGCGAGGGGCAACATCGCCGACGACTCCCACTTTAAAGCAGCAAAGGTCAAAGGTCAGGAAGCCGGAAAAGGACCGAAAACGGCGGCCCGGACCTCCTAATTTGCATGAGTAAGCGCCGCGCAGAAGCTACGTTGTGCAATAGTAGTACTTTGCATCGGGGGGTGGCATTAGGTATCTGCACAGGCTTAACATAAACCTATGCAGATACCTCAGGTCCTCAACTATAAATGAAATGTGTCTATAACTATGAAATTTAATACATTTAAAATGTATATAGATAAAATAAAAAATAGAACAAGTAAATTAGAAAATCAAAAAATAGAAATAGAACAAATAGTGAAAATGTTCATATTAAACGATTACTCGAAGACACTACTGAATAAATGGATGCAGAAAATAGTTATTGACGTACTGTACAAGTAAAAAATAATAGGGAGGATGCGGCCGAAGTTTCATCTCTAAAACGTGAACTTGAACGTCAAGCGCCACCATCTTGTAAGACTAGAAGTTTTAGAATGGCGTTTGGAACGTCGAACGTGACGAGTAGAAGTACGGCTTAAACGTCTGCATTTTTCTGTCTTTTGGGTTAAAATTATGACGTATTTTATTCAAATAACGATTATTTAAACATTTATGAATAACATTGTAAAGAAACAGACGATTTTAATCCAGAAATTATTTAATAATTCAATTTTTTTTTCAAGTGATGTGAAGTGCCTATAATTTTTTATATTGTGTTCATAATAGCTTATCATTACAATATAGAAATAGGTTTGTTCTTTTACGACATCTACCATAAACAGCATATTTCGTTTGTAAATTTCTAGAAATAGTTTAATTTGTTTATTTACTTTCGCTGGTAACCTTCGTCGCTCTTGAATGTTTCCGCCATTTTCCAACAATATCCCATGAATCAGTGCGTGACGTGAACGTGTGGCGCAACGTGTTTTGTTCGGAGTTCAAACATCAAAAGTGTACTTCTGCTTGCAAACCGCTGTAGAGACAATTGCCATGAACTTTTTCCCGAGACTACAAATATTCGAGTACAAAGTAACCATTTTCGACTTATTTCTACTTAAGAAGTAGTTAAATAATTAAGCAATTAGGGAATTGGGGACATAAACAAAATCCTGATGAAAGAGCCGAAATTTTACTTAAAAGCTTAACCGAACCATCTCTAGCCGAGTACAGTGGAGACTGATTTCTTTGTATTATTAATGTAATAAAGACAGAAAATTTTTCCAGTTGAATGAGAGTGACCGAAAAGCTGTAAATTTTGGAAATTTCTGAGGACACTTGGTCCTAAAACGAATTAGTTAGAAAACAAATTACTATTAAGTTTAACATATTAAGATTTTTACAGCTATGATGAGAAACGTTTAAAATCTATAACAGCCCTGTCGCGTTCTTTGAGATATACTAATAGAGAGGTTGAGGCGCACGTTTTAAACGTGTAAACGTGTACGTGTGACGTTCGGCGCCGCTTTCCCGTAAGCCTAAAAGTTTGACAATGGTGTTTGGATAGTCGGTGGAATCACGCTCGACATTCCAAACACCATCGTCAAACTTTTAGGCTTACGGGAAAGCGGCGCCGAACGTCACACGTACACGTTTACAC